GCAACAATTCATCAACAAGAGTGCAGGAACACTGACAAACCTTTTGAGTCTAGGGAGGGCTTAGGACTTCCGTTAAGCTAATTTTTCAAGGATAGTATAGAAGCTTTAAAACAGCTAAATTACCGAATATAGGCATAAGTTCTCCCTTGGTGCTTTTCCTTGCAATAGCTGTTAGGCAATCTGAAGGTGCTTATCCCACTTCCTTATTTTTTCTTTACTGTATGTCCTCTTGTATTTTAAATTTGACCTTGACTACTACCCAAACAGCCATTGCCAAGATAGGCATTTCAATACTCTTTGGTCCTTTCCTGTAGTTATCCTCTCCCTCTTGGTCCCTGAAGCACCAGCTAATGCTACAGTGTGATGTGAGACTCTCTTGAAGCTTTCAGGTGGGTACATACACACAGAAATGTTATCTGAGACACTATGCTTATTCTGCTTGAATAGCTTTTCCCTGAATTTGGTGTGTAAATTTCCTACACTGGAAAATCCAATTGATGAAAATATCTTTAAAGGTTTACCTTTTTATGTTTGTATAAGTAAAAACCACGAAATAAATCCAACGTTGTAATCACCAACACTACAGCAATACAGGAGTACTGTTGCTTTCTCATCTGAATTCATTCAGAACTATAAGTAATTTGAAGTAATAAATAATAAATAAGTAGATGTAAACTGTAAGAAGTTCTGGTCACCCCTATCTCAGAACAGACATCCTACAACTAGACAGGATTCAGGGAAATGAGCAGCTGGAGTGAGATTATATAGGCCAAACCTTTTCCGTTAGGAAAAGAAGGGACTAAGTAGGAAATGTGTAAAACCGTGAATATCTTGGGGAAGTAATGGTAATGGTTACTCATTTTCTCATAGCAGAAACACTATACATATCTTATTAAAATAAAATGCAGCAAGTTTGACACAGAAATGAATTATTTTTCACAGAAGGCATAATTAGGTATGGAACTAATTTCCCACAGTAGGCTGTAGATGTCAAAATACCCCATTAGGTTCAAAAAGTAATTATCACAGTTTATGGAAGAAACTTTTGTTAAAGTATGTAAAATACAAAGATGCAGTTCTAACTTTCAGCACAGGAAGTATTTCACTAGCAGAGCGCAAGGTGATAGAACAGTCTGTTAGGGGAATTATCACTTATTATTCCCCTTATTCTTGTATTTTTTCCCTTACCTGACCGCACTTGAAATCAGGATACTGAAGTAAAGGGACTGAGTACTGCTTTTTTCTGTTTCATCAATTGTTTTTTCTTTATCATGTCTGGAACCTATTTCTTCCTGCCATGCTTGCATAGAGACAGAGGGAAAAATGTGCAAACTAGAAAGGTTGTTGAAAATACATGGAAAAAAAAAATCTGCTTTGCTTATTGATCACTTTAAGCATTACTATAATATAGAAATACCCAAGTTCTTCAGAAAGAAATGTCAGGTTTGAACTTATATCTACTATTACCATAGTAGGTATGGAGTCTTGTCCTTTCTAAAGCTTAAAATTTTGTGTTCAAAAAGTTGATTAATATTTGCACTACTAAAGAAACTTTATCTTCTGGTAGTATTACAGTTTAAGTATTGAAAATCTCCCATTTTTCTAGGCTCTATATAAGGACAGAGTTTCTATTTGTTCCTTCTGTAAAGTGTTAGGTGATCTGTGGATTTATAGATGGGAAAGTGCTGCCTGAAACCAACATTCACTCCGAGACTAGCAAGGAGTAACTAGTTTAACTGATACGGTTAAACAAGATTAACTACTGCATGTTGATTCCAAATATCAAGTGATCACATAGTAACAATTATTCCATAGTTCATTGATGACAGAAATACAGCAAAATTCCACATATAGGGCATAATTCTGATGGATTAACCAGAGCACATGTAGTGACTATGCCAGCTGATATTAGCTACCTTGTCTTTAAGACAACAGTCTGCACCACAGCCCTTTTGAGCTCCTGCCAGTGCACAGTGCAAGGCTAATGCTACTGTGCTGTGGGACGTTGTAAATTTAGTCTAATAGGAGCATAATGTCAGCAGAGCTACTACAACATAAACTTATGCCTTAACATATATTACTTTATGCAGTCAAATTATTGGAAAGACAATAAGACAGGAAAATATGAGGTGTAAAGCATAAAGAACAGAGATAGGATCTGCAGAAGTTTTCATAGCATCATGGCATCATAAAATAGTTTGAGTTGGAAATAACCTCTAAAGGTCACTTAGTCCAAATCCCCCTGCAACGAGCAGGGACATCTTCAACTACAGCAGGTTGCTCAGAGTCCTGTCCAACCTGACCTTGAATGTTGCCAGTGACAGGGCATCTCCCACCTCTCTGGGCAACCTGTTTCACCACCCTCGGCCTAAAAAAATTCTTCTTTTGATCTAGTCTAAATCTACCCTCTCTTAGTTTAAAACCATTACCCCTTATCCTACTACAACAGGCCCTGCTAAAAATTTTGTCCCCATCTTCCCTGTAGGCTCCCATTAAGTACTGAAAGGCCGCAATAAGGTCTCCCTAGAGCCTTCTCTTCTCCAGGCTGACTGGTTCCAACTCTTTCAGCATTTCCTCATAGGAGAGATGTTCCAGTTCCTTTGGTCCTCTTTGGTCCTTCATTGGACTCTCTCCAGTAAGCCCATTCTCTCCTGTACTGGGGAGCCCAGAACTGGATACTCCAGCTGTGGCCACCCCAGTGGTGAGTGGAGGGGAAGAATCACCTCCCTCGACCTGCTTGCTGGCAATACCTTGCCGAATGCACCCCAGGATACAATTTGCCACCTCTGGCACAGGACACATTGCTGGCTTATATTCAACTTGGTGTCCCCTGGGACCCCCAGGTGTTTTCTGCAAAGCTGCTTTCCAGCTGGGTGGCCCCCAGTATATATTGGTGCATGAAGAACACACATGAAGCAACACAGGGCTGGAGATTTCTATCCTAGTAGTTTAGTGTTAAGCTGGATCAGAAGGAAGGGGAGCAAAAAGGGAGGTGGCCTGTGTTAGACAGAAGTGGATGATTGAGCACTGTCAGGGGGAGATCATCTAAGAGCAGACCATGGCATGCACTTGAATGCCATCCTGTATCAGTACCCACCAAAGCCACTCAAACTGTATTTGGTAAAAGCTGGACCTGTGACAGGAAAGATGAACCAATTCACCTAGGCATGCTGCTCATAGAGTTGTGGAGCATTTTTCAGTAGAAACTGCTAAACATGAGAAGCAAAACAAACCCCAACTCACCTGATATTTTTTAAGTCCTTAACTTCTGAAGTCTAATGCCCGGACTACTGCTTTAAATTGATTTAATTTTATAACAGTTACCAGCCATAGGCATGTTTTACAGAATTTTTTAAAGTACTTGATACTTTTGCAATTATACTAAATGCAAGAAACCTGAAGTTCATGCTCATTAGCTCTAAATAGTCAAAGACATTTATACACACATGGCTTGAATTATCATGTCCTGATAAGGAAATGAAACACCTGAATAAAATTTATTATCACTGACACTCCTTTGATGTAAGTAAAACTTACATCTTAGGACAGAAAAGCAAATGAAGAGCTGGAATTCCTCTTTTCAAAAAATGGTAAAACAATAATCAATTAAAAGACTTTCTTATAACCTATTCTCTTTTTCCATACCTCATTTTTTTTGCAGAGAATCATCAAGACCCTTAATCTCTGAGACTCTGAAAATAATTACTCTTAGAGAAACAGACAGAAGGCTTATTTTACTCACTATACTTTGTACCTTTTTGCCTTAGATAATTAGGGACATTAGTTCATTATTTGCAATACTTAGGGAATACTGTCATTAGCAGGGGATTGTTCTCTGGTACCCTGAGGAAATGAAAAGCTTTTAAGAGCAATCACCATTAATCACTAACATGCCAACATTATATACCTTCTGGAACTGAGGATGATATATAGACAGGACACATTAAGTAACTCTATTTTACTTGCATTGTAGGCTTTCAATAATAATGTAGTTCTAGCACAGCCGTTTGCATGGCTTGCAAATATATACAATAGCTAAGAATTCCGTAAAATGTCTTTTTGTACAAGCTACTGAACATATACTCTCTGATTCCATAGTTGAGATTGATTGTGCTTTCAGCATTATTATACTTAGTTATACAATTTCACCTGAGTGGTAAATAAAAAGGGCAAGAAGGCGGTCCTTTTTAAGGGTGAAAGAAGAAATAAATGAAAAGTGATAAATGTAATTAAATTTATCTTCACCTTCAGCTCAGCAGGAGACTTAGCACCTGCATAGTTGCACTACTCAGAACTGAGTGCATAGATTAACATTAGACGCACACTATTTGCAAGCAATTTCTATTATTCATGTTTTTTTAATATCAAATACTTTCTATCCAATGTTAATGGCATATAATGTCAATGACATCCCAGAAAAGGAGGCAGACTGCACTCCCGCACTGAGATCCTCAGTGGGGATCTCCACCAACTGAAAACATTGGACCTGCCAACAGAGCACATATATCAGCAAAAGAAATTAAAATATCCCAGATAATGATTCCCAGTAAAGGGCTCTGACAAGTTTATTTACTTGGGTAGCTAGGAAGGACTGAAGAAGCCATCTACTGCTGTCCACCCAGTGAAAAATTCATCTAATGCAATCTGTGCAAATTACTTTTTGCTATTGGCTATTGTGAACACAAAAATCAAAATCTTTCTTCTCACTGACCAAATGTTCTGTCCCCTTATTTCATCTTTTGACAAACAACTCCAACACAATTTTCAATCTGTCCTTGAACAAAGTCCTACTGTACTAAGTTATAATTATTCCCTTATGGATGTTTTTTAATATTTCTGCATCTTTTGGTCAGTAAACAGCCCGATAGTTACAGTTTCCTCACTTGACCAACATGCAGTATTTAGCTACTGAATCCCATGATTGGGATTCATTGCCAGTCATTCTTACACTGCTGAGACTGCAGTGGCCTATCCTGCAAATGGAAGAAAGAAGTGCTTACGTTCTTGAAACCTCTATATAAGATCTGAAGTTCCTTCTTTGTGAATTTACTCTGTGCTTCCAGCAGTTCGAGAGCTTCAGGTCTATGTCGTACTGTGGCCATTTCCATTTCATCTTCTACAGTGTCTGCAGAATACAAGAGACAGAGAAGTAAAGCTCAACAAGAAATATAGGATGTAGAAATATCTAACCCTTGCAGAAAAAAAAAGAAGAAAGTTAAACGACATTCTTTTAAATAACAGCTTTTGCAGCTTTACAGACAAATGGCATGTTCATTTTGAATTCAAAGGGAAAGAGTATCTGTCAGTGGCTGCACAGAACATGGAACAGCAGTGATGATCCAGCAGCCTGGATATTATCACACCAGTACAAATAGCAAAAAACTGGAAAGTCAACATTCTGCAAGGGCATGCACGACACATTCAGAATGACTTTTCCGTTTCTACAACTCTCTGAGCTAAGAAAACATTTTTATAAAACTTCAGTGACTCCAGAATACTGGAAATTTTCCCTTGGATAGAATTCACTGCATCCGTCTGAGATTCTCAGTGTTCTCCTTTCACTGCGAAGTTGTGCTTCAGAAAGTGTGAGATCCATGCTGCATATTCAACAGTACACCTTACTTTGAGTACCATATAACAAATGCCTCAGGGCAACATGATTATTCACGGTGAGCAGCCTAAGTGGGGAACACAAGTATTTTAGTGAGCTCATAATTAGGTGAATATGAATGTGGATATACACACTCGAGACTTACAGCTGAGTTCAGCCCTAAAACTATGTGATATAGCAATGCATTTTTTTCCAGGTAGAGTTTTAAATGTGAAAGTTCAAATAAAATAGCTAGAAAAATTTACAGTATGTATATCTGGATCGAAAATATGAATGTGTGCATCTATTCTTAGTACCACCGGTATTAAACATAGCTTATGTACTACTCCAGACTAATTTAATCAAATCACTGCCTTATCCTGGCTTAAGATTAATACCAGCTATAGAAACATAACTTGAGAGAAAACAAACACGCATAATTGTCTCTTCTAGAATTCTGAAGAAGTGGGATCTGCATTCTTAAAATAAAGTTTTATTCAGTTCGATTTTCATAAGAGCACAATATTAGAACACTCCATTAAAACCGTATTATGCTTATATCTTCACATATTTTTGTTTCTGCTACAATGCAGTAATAATAGCTTTCAGCTGCTTGGGAGAAATCTGGCAACAGGAGATATAGTCCAGCCAAAGAAGAAATGAACAAACTTTAAATAGATATAATCAAAATACATAAACTATTTGAATAAATCTTCACAAAATCTTAGGGCCTTTTTTTCACCTGTCAAAGAGACCTTGTGGTTGACACCCACCACAGGAATCTGATTTCAATCTCACTCATCGTCTTATCTCAGAATGTCCATTGTGTGGACAAACTATAATGTGTTTCCCTTTCATGTTTCTTTATGAGTTATCTCATGATGACTCATAGACCACCACCATCTTTGTGAAAGCTTCCAATCTAAAAGCTATTGTCAAAAAACCCAACTGACGCAACTTTACATTGATATTATGATGTTGCTGTTTGATAATAGGTTGAAAGGGCCAGTATCTGAACTCACAAGATTATAAGAAAATTTCAGTTCTCTGAAAAAAAGATGCTGAGGTGCAAAGAGGGAGTCTTGAAATTGGAATAAATTTTAGAAGCTGTCTTCTTAATTTAGGGAAAGTGTGGCAATGTTCTTGAGTCCCATTTTAATTCTGCATAAGAAAATGCAGGGTTTAATTTGTAAGGTTTTTAAAGCCTTTCAATCATGTTTTAAGATATTTATCTTTTATATTCTTTAGACAATCACTGAAGTCCCTATAACAATGTCATGCTGTAGATATGCAGCTGTTTTTGTCAACCGCAAGTCAACACTGGTGCTTAAACTAAATTGAAAAGACAGACAACCTGAGAACAGATATTGTTGAAAAGTCACTTGTGTTTTATATGCCAGAAGTTATATGGGATCTAAATGGGTTATTGTTTAGACAGAAGGGGACTTAACTGGAAATGAGCTCTCTGAGCATCCATTTGTGAACCATCTGGCTACCTAGAGAGAAATCTACAAGCTGTTCTAGAAGCTAAAAGAATACACATAATAAATGTGAGGATAGATAAAGGCCAGACAATGTAATCCTGAGCATGATGTTTGGTATATCCTTAGCAATAAACAATTTTATTGTGTTTTAATGATTCAGTGAGACTTCAGTGTGGTGATGGTGTCTTTCCATTAATGAAAAGTTTCAGTACAACAGTCTTCTCACACTCTATTTCTGTAGATTCTGTGGATATAAATAATCCAAAAATAAGTTTGTCATAAACTTCTTCACAATGTGCCAACTATGCTGATTAAAATATTGTAACATTCATGAGTCACAGGTTTTTAATTTTTTTCTTCACACTTATGATTAGCGTTATCCAGGCTGGAAAAGAAATCTACACTTTTGAAAATGTGTGAAAATATGTCTATTTCTAAAGATTAATTATTAGATTAATGAAAAATTAGTTATTTTCAGCCTGAGAAAGTTGAGTTGTTTTTTTTTTTTCCCATAAAAGGCTAACATATGTCAACTGAAAACCAGAAACAAGTTCATATTCACTCATTATTCACTCATATTAAGCAGAATATTCCTACGAATTTCATTCCAGCTAAATCATAAAGACAGTTTTTAATGTATTTGCCACAGGAGCTATGCTTTGAACCTTTCATTGTTCATTAAAGAACAAAATGGGAAAAGCAATGCAAAAAACAGACATACTCTTCAAATAATGGCAGCTGGAGAAGCGTGTCCAAAGTTATGGCTAAGTTAATATCTGTAAAAGTTGTAGACATGCATTTGCCTTCAAAACCCTCAAATTATATCTCCCATATCTATTTAATAACTGCATACACAAATGCTTTTATTTTCCAAAACCATTCCTGAGTCTACTTCTATCTCTAGCACACATTTAAAAATTTAGCTAAGGAAGAATGGAATTAAGTTTAGGTTTACTAGGCTAGAGCACACAAATAACAAAAAGCATTCTTTGACATGCTTTATTGAATGGGAATGCTGAAATAAGATTTTATTTATTCAAGAAACTTTTTTCTGCACACGTTAATAGATGTTAAAGTAAATTCAGGCTATGTATATTTCAACATGTTACTTGTTTTAAAAATATTCTCCTTAAAATTTCTGTGGAATTCACATTATGTGGTTGATATTGTAAGTAGTGCTGGCTTCGTTCCTAGTGCATTATGATGTTGCTTCTTTCATGGCAGCAGAAATCAAATAGGACATTATGTCAAAATGGGATAATAACAATGGGTGTCTACAATGATACTCTTACTTAATATAATGTTTTCATTTAATATAACATTATAACTTAATGCAGCATTTCACTACTGATGAGAGTACAGAGAAAAATGCTGAATGAAGATTTTTTCATTACTTGATTCTCAAATATGAAATATTTAATGCAAATTTTATTTTGACTTCTCTTTCAGTTTATAAAACACTTTCATCAACAAAATGCAAATTTTGCACGTTCAAGCTTATTAAGACCAACTCTAAATTATATTACCTGTGCGGATAAAAATCTCACATAGAAGTGTGCAAGGAATAAGGATGTGTTACTCTCTAACCAACTTCAAACAAACAGATCAAACCTTCTATTCCTTTTATTCTGTTTCCTTTTTCTGTTCTATGTCCCATCTCTGGAGGTGTTCAAGGCCAGGCTGGATGGGGTTTTGAGCAAACTGGTCTAGTGAAAGATGTCCCTGCCCATGGCAGGAGAGTTGCACTAGATGATTTATAAAGGCCCCTCTCAACCCAAACTATTCTGTGACTCCACGATTCTATGATTCCCTTTATAGTCTTAGGCTACATGCCCTGTAGCTGAATGCAAATTCTACGTAATTAATCACTAGTAGGTGTCATGACAATAACTGACCTTTTAATGTTACCCTATTTTCAAATAAAGCACATCAGCTGAAGCCACCACAAAAAAAATCACTGTACATCCACATCTTTAGTGCTTTTCATCTTTGAGATCTCAAATAATTAGAAAGGAAAGCAACCACCACAGTTCTCTCTATAGAGGAGCATACGAAAAACAGTGAAGTGGGGCAGCAAAAAGGAAGCCTAGATTCATACCACTGAAGTCCAGACACTTAACTCGAGTTGTTTTAACTTGTGGGGCCTCGAATTGTTCCATAATCACTGGACACAAGGGCGGGTTTGTAGAGGCATTTTTTTTTACCTTTGACAGATACACTTTACCAGAAGAGTATATAGGAAGCATGGGGACTCATCTTGTAATTTTAGGTGTTCAGAGTAGTGCCTAGAATTAAGCCAAATTAATCTAGACTAAATTGGGTCCACAGGGACATTTTAAAATTAGTTATAGTAGCCAATTTCTATAGGCAGATGTTAGTGCTGATACTATAATTTATCTACGTGTATCTATATATATTTACGTAGGTCTCCATGTAGGGATTTTTCTCTCCCTCCCCCTATATTTATCTGTTAGCTATCTTTGACAGATTTTATTTCCTCACAGCATATCAAGACATTAAAGGTACTGTCAGTGTGCTTTTCCTTTATCTTTACATTCACATACTTTTGTATTCAATCTCATTTTTATCTTTTTTTCAGCCACATCTCCTGGGAGACCTTATTGTGGCATTTCAGTGTATTCAATCTCATTTTTATTTTTTTTTCAGCCACACCTTATTGTGGCATTTCAGTGCTTAAAGGGGACCCACAGGAAATGGGGACAAACTTTTTAGCAGTGGTTGTTGGCATGGGACAAGGGGTAATGGCTTTAAAATAAAAGAGGGTAGATTTAGACTAGATCAAAGGAAGAAATGTTTTACAACGAGGGTGGTGAAACAGTGGAACAGATTGCCCAGAGAGGTGGGAGACGCACCATTCCTGGAAACATTCAGGGTGAGGTTGAACGGGGCTCTGAGCAACCTGATCTGGTTGAAGACGTCCCTGCTCATTGCAGGAAGGGTTGGACTAGATGACTTTTAGAGATCCCTTCCAATAAACTGTTCTACAATTCTATACTTTTAGGTCTTGTTCCCTAAATAGTTTGATGTTAC